TCCCTGATGCATCTGAGATTTTCCTGCTGCTGCACACTGGCCTCTGCGGGGGTGACGTACCTGGAAATAGCCCTGCCAGGGCTCAGGGCTGACCTGCTGCAGGTCCTGCAGCTGGCTTTTCCGAAGGGGGTTTTTCACCAGGGCAGTGCCAGGATCACTGGCTGTTGGCACTTTCTTGCAAGGCTCACGGTCAGCAATTTGAGTGGTGCTGTACGCCCGCCTCCTGGAGGAAGCCTTCACATCCATCCCTGCTGGGTGGGAGAGAAAATCAGCTCTGGAGTGGGACCAGCCAGCACCATCCACCCTTGGGTCATGGTGGGTGTTGGGGAGCCCACCCCTGGGGTCCTCCTGGGGCCGAGGGGGCCATGCTCAGCCCTGCTCAGTTTTAAGCAAAGCAATGAAACCATGAAAGGGAATAAGAGCCTACACTCAAAACTCCTGGGGATGTCAGGAGAGCAGACTGGGGAGGTTTTGTCTGAGAAGTTTTCAGTCAGAAAAAGCCTGACTGCATTTTCCCAAACCTCCCCAGAGAAGACAAAAGGTTTAGTAATGAAATTTCATTAGCGCAGACACGCTCCTGTCAGAGCAAGAGTAAAATTTCATTTGGAAAGGCATGATTTTGACAAGGTTGAGGGGATGCGCAGCTCTGTTCCCCTAAATACAAGGGAAGAACACTCCGTGGATAACAGAGGCTTCCTTGCAGCATGGAAATGCAACCAGCTGTGGAGTGCAAGCAGCTCTGGGGTGCAAGCAGCTGCTTTATGCCACATGTTGCTGACACAAGCGCTCAGCCAAACCATGATGGTGAGGGGTGACATCCTGGGGACGGGGCTTCAGATCCATTCCTCCACTCTCCTGACCTTGAACTGCAACTTCAAGGCTTTGCAGGAATGGGCTACCCATTTGCTCACTTCTTCTCCACACAACGGAGGGCAGCTTGGAAAGCTTGTAAATAATTATGTGGCCAAAGCTAGAGCTGCTTTGAAAACCTCCAGGGAAGCCAGCTCTCCAGGGCTTCCCTGGATTTCCTGACAGGTTTGGATAAAACATCCAAACCAAACAGACTCTTGCAAGCCTCGGGAGATCTGTCATCCCTCCTGCAAACCCCCCCAGCTCTTTGCAGAGATACAGCCAGAGAGACTTATTTGTCAGACAAACAAATTAGCACAGAAGCCTGATCAGAAAGACAGGGGCATCACACCCATGCTTGTACAGAGGAAAACCTGACCAGTGTCTGTGTCCGATTCTCCCTCAGGATCTCTGCCCACCATCAGGTGATCAGGACAGCAGCTCTCCGAGTCTCTGGAGTGGTTCCAGCTCTCCATGCTCGCTCCCTCCTCCTGGGAGTGAAAGAAAACCGAGCTGCCCGACTCCTGGGACCGCATCATGCTGTAACGTCGCCTCTTGTCCTGGGGGAAAGCAGAGAGAGGAAGTAGGTCCTACCACTGCATCCATCAGCCACCTCCCAGCCGAGAGCAGCCACTGCTTGTGCACCCTTATCCACCAAGCTCCTGTTTCTCCCAAATATCTCCTACCATCTCCTATGAGGACAAAGCAAGAAAGCAAGAGACACCTCCTGACCATGCACAAAGACCTGAAATGCCTATTTGTGTCCATGCACACCAACACATGGACTCACCAGCATGGACTCACCGATCTGGGGTTGGAGATGTATGGGGAGGTGTCACAGATGATGCTGTAGCCAACCAGGTGGTCACCAGGGAAGAGGCAACTGGTGCTGATGGGGGAAACCAAGACCTCGGTGCTCTCGGGAAAGACCCACTCCACGGACACGTCACTCAGTACCGGTGCCATCGCCTTCTTCAGCGACTTGATCATCTGAGGTGGAAAGCAGAAGGGAACAGTTAAGCAGCACGTGGACGTTGTGTGTGCCCCAGTGCACGCATCGTGTGCTACAGGGGAAGGGGACAATTTCCCCAGACAAATCCATCACCTGATTCCTACCCTCTCCTGGCCTTGGATGGGAGCCTGCTCCCTCTTAGACTGCTCTGCCAACCATCCCAGCACCCCCAGCCCCTGGGCAGGGTTATACCGAGGGCAGCAGAGCAGATATTGATAAATATCAATCAAATAAACAAAATATCAAATATAAATATCAATCTAGCATGTGGGCAGAGGTTATCTTGTTGTGGTGCAAGTCAGCATCCCCTGCTGCCCCCCAGCACCCAGGAAAAGCTGTTGAGCCCCACTGGTCTGAGTCCCCGCTGCCCCAAGCCCCAACACCCACACACCGACTGACAGCACTGCTTATTTTTGGTACCGGTCCTTGCTGGCGCAAGCCACTGCCGGAGATTAGTGATGTTCTGCCAATTACACATGTGGAGAAGACCAATATCTGTGAATATCTCATGGGCAAACCTACCAGGGAGCCATCTACAAGAGCTTCCCTGCACACTGGGGGAAGAAAACGCCAGATTTAGAGGCAGAACAGCTCAAATGTTCGCTATTGTTCGCTGCTTTTTAACAGGCTTGGGAAGACGCACCAGGCTGTGTTTTATAAGGCCATTAATTGATGCCTCAGACTGCTGAAGGCACCAAGCTGCACAGCCTGCAAAGCTCTTTATTAATAGATCCATAAAAAAACATCTCCCTTCACTGTCTTTGCTTTTAATTTACATCAGAAATGCTGATGCCGTTCAGTCTTAGACAGGTTTTTGTATGCTCCAGGTTCCCGCGGAGGGGTGGACTGCTGAACTCCTTCTTTTGAGATCAAGAACACAGGAGCCAGCTATTCAGAGATATTTAGGAGCTAAAGACCCAATTCTCTCTGGGTTTAGTCATCCAGTGGATGACGGGCGAGGCACCGTGCTTTCACCAGGAGACAGAGCCATTCTTACGCCCTATTTGAGGCACATCGGTTTACTCAGTCTTCATGGGGAGAGTGGAAATGAAGAGGCTCCCCCTTTCGCTTTAAAGTTGGCTTAATAGGCAAAGCTGCTGCATTTCTCTCCCTCCAACCCCGGGTGCTTCTCGCCTGAGCAACGCCGGGGCTGAGCCTGACTTCAAAACTAATTGGCTGCTTTGATGCCGGTTCCTCTGCCCTCGCCAGCGTCTGAGGCAGCAGCTCCCTTTGAAGGCAAAGCTGCTGTATGGAGGCTATCGCTTCTCCTCGTCCCCGAGCAGAGGGTAAACACACCCTCCCACTCCCTCCGACAGCCGGAGATGAAGATGCTCTTTCATCCCCTCCCGCTCGCCCACCTGCTGCTGAGTGGGCGTTGGGAAGGCAGCGCCAAGATGAGGAATGAGGTCCGTTAGTGAGCCGTGGCCTCCCCCTCGCTGAACCACAGCATCCTTAGAGCCTTACGAGGTGGTCCCATACCTTGGGCTGCAGCCTCTCGCCCTCTGCTAGGAATTCGGCAATGCCTCTGGACACAGAAGCCAGCCCTCGAACCAGTCTCCTGCAGGCGTTTGGTCCGATGCCGAAGCTGTAACACCTGCAAAGGGACAGGGAGCATCAGGATCCAGGGGATGAAGCCATCCTAACCCCCAGTCCCACACAGCTCACCCACTCCCTGCAGGTAGAAGATTCCCCCCCACCAGCTTTATCCCAGTGCTATGCAGTCGTCCGGCATAGCCAGAGGAAAATAAACCAGCTCCAATTTTAGGTGGCTGGCAGGAGGGTCTGGAACCGGCATCTCTCTGCGTTCAGCAGACCTCTAATCCTTTCCCAGCAGGACCCCAAGCCCCTGCCTCCTCTGCAAACACAAACAAGCTGCTGTGCTGCCAGTTCAGCTCTTTTCCCTGCTGAGTGCCTGTGGTCAATAGCACTAAAGACCCAGTAATTACCTCTGCTCTCAATTAAAATAAATGTTTTCTCAAGGAAAGAGGAACCAGCCAGGCGAGGCTGCTCCCCTGACTCCCAGCTCAATGAGTCAGGATTTGAGTTTGGCTGAAGGCTGCAAACCCCGAGTGGAGCCAGAGCATGGGCAGGGAGGGCAGAAGGGAGCAGTGTATGGCAGGGACGGATGTGGAAGCAAGGCAGAAGGGATGGGGATGGGTGGGATACGGCGTTCAGCCAGGAAGAAACCACCTTTGGCAGCAAACTGCATCTGCATGAGGGGCTTTTCTCTGAGAGGTTTTTTTAATCCCCAGGTGGCAAAAAGCTTAGGGCAGCCTCACACCCTCTTAAATGAGGCTCCGATCTTCTTTTGAGACAGGGGCCACACATACGACCCTTCCAGGGTCACCCGAGACCACGATTTGGCTCTGATTGAATTTAGCCCACCACAATTCCTCTATCAGAGAGAGGGATGGGTTGCCCTGTACTGCTGGGAAGCAGTTAAACCTCCCTATTGTAAAAAAAGGACAGAGCAGCTTCCCTGATAAGCCCTGAAGTCTGAGGGATGGAAGAGGAATGAGGTTTTCATGCATTTTTCTTATGTTTCATGCCCCTTAAAGAGGCAGAGGAGAAACCAGAGCAGCCTGTCATCAGGGCTGGGGAGCCAGGCTGGGAGCTCGATGCACAAATTAGCTGCTTTTCACATTTGCTGTCTTTCAGCACATTCAATTCTGCACAGCCCCATCCTGGAAGCAGCTGAGGCCAGCCCCAGATGTGTTTTTAAAAAAAATTATAAAAAAACGGCAAGGAAGATTGTTTGTGTGTCAATCTCTCCTAGCAGGAAGCATCAGCCGAGAGCCTGTGAAGTTGTCAGCCCAATTATCCTGCTTTTGATTGTTTAAAAAGCATCTGAACTTCTGGGATCGGTTCCAAACCCTTTGAGGTTCTCCCATGGCTCATACCAGCAATCTCTCCTGTCTCTGAAGCAGGGATGTCTGTGAGATGGAGCCGTGTTCATAGAGCAGCGCATTCCACACCATGCCGGGCTTTCACCCCTGCAGTGGTGAGCCCTGCTGCCCTCTGTACCTGGTAGAGCAGGAGTGGTTTCGCAGCAGCTCCAGGACCTTCCCCGTGTTGCTGATGGCCCCGTCCGTCAGCAGAAAGAGCAGTCGGGGATGACCCCTGTGGATGGGCTGCCGGATGACCCACTTCAAAGGTGATAAGATGTTGGTGCTGCCCATATCAGCCCGGATCCTCTTGATGCTCTCACAGGCGGTGGCCAAGCTCTCCTACCCCAGGGAGCAGCAGAATTGTCAGCATCTGTGCCAGCACCCTCTGAGCACCGAGGAAATGTGGCTTCACCCACCTCACAGTAAGTCTGGCTGGCAGGAAAGAGGGTCTTGAAGGTGGACCCAAACCCAATGACGTTGAAGAGACACGCTGGCATCAGGCTCTTGAGAATGACCAGCAGAGCATCCTGGGGGATGGAAAGCAAGCAGACATCAGGCACATTGGGTCTCTCATTGGTTGCCCCAGCTTCACCAGTAAAAGCTCTGCCCAGTCCCTACCTTGCATCTGGCTCCCGCATCTGGCTGCGTGCATTTTCTAATAAAATAACTGCTTCCTTCACATGCACTGCAGTGAAAAAGCACTGCACATTGTTCTTTCCAATGACACTTAAAGATATTTGGGTCCCAAAGCAGTGAGGAAAATGGGGAGCCTTCAGATTAAAAAAACAAAAAGAGCTGAACAAATTTTTGTGTTTGTTTTTAAGTGATTAAATTTGTGCTTGCAATACGGTACTGCAGCACAGAGCTAGTGGGTGAGAAGCAGAGTGTGAAATTGAGAAGTGCGACACGCAATGCATTTCAATGTCCAAACTTGCAGAAAATAAACAAACAGCTTAAAGTTACACAAAAGGAAAAGCCACCCCCAACCCCAATTCTCTTGTATTCATAGCTGGCATCAATTAAAATAACTGGGAGAGACAGTTTTAAGCTATTTTCTTTACCAGAGGTGGTTATCTAACTTGCCTATTCTTGGTCTTTACATAAGGGAAGAGCAATTTAAATTGTCTCAGGCACGTGATGGCCGTGGACAATTCCAGGACTGGGCAAGAGCGACCCAAGGAGCTCCAGAACTTGCAGGGACAGCAGGAGCAATTAGCATTGGGGAAGAGGGAAACCAATTTAAAGCCAAGTGCTGGCAGCATTCAGGAGCAGCTCGGTTCTTTCTGTACATGTGCTGATAAAGGCAGACTCCTGCCAGTCTGCCTAGGGCAGCAGAAACCCCAGAGCCAGCCCCAAGAGAAGGGCTGCCAAGGGCAAAGGAGCCAAAAAGCCTCCTTGCTTTGTCATACGCAGTGGCAAAGACTGCAGAGGTGGGTGCTGGAGCTGCACGCAGAGGAACCCGTCAGAGGAACAGAGATGGGTGCCAGGTCAACCCAGATCCTGACCCCTGTAAGATCCAGCAGTAAGGCAGAGCTTGAGCACCACAAATCAGTGAAATAATGTACGAGAATGGAGCTGCCCTTTAACAGGCTCCAGAGGACTTCAAACCAAGCTGTTATCTCAAACCTACGAGAATGTATTTATACTGCTGCTTCCCAGATGGCTCCTGGGATGCCAAATCTCGTTGCTGACATCCCATCTCAGAACTAATTACAAGGAAAGAAAGCCCTAAATTTCCAAATATTTCTGCTAAAGCACTACCCAAAGTGGGCAACCCATGCCGGCTTTCTGTTTCAGCGAGCGGAAAGAGATATTGCTTCTTGTGGTAAATATTGATCCTCACCCTGTAGCACTCAATATCTATACAGTGGCTCGATAACGAGAGATGTTTGCCTCCAGAGAAGTCAATTCCCAGTTATTAGTCTGGTTTTGCCAGTGAGCCCACCCGATGCCAGCACTGACCCAGGGAAAGGGAAAGGAACCGGCTGCAGGAAACATAAACCCCTGAACTTTCCACCCCGGACACTTTGGCTGAGTGCCCTCCTGCTCGGCAGTGAACCACGTCCTCCCAGCCCGTGCCAGACCATCCCCTCTCGGTTTGCATCTCTGCCAGCACCACCGCGCTGCGGCTCAGCTTTCCCACTGTGCCACTCAACCAGCAAACATCTCCATCAAGCGTAACCCACCCAAACCCAGGAAGAACAGCCCCTGTGACAAGGTCCCTGATATTTGCAAGTCATAAACAGGGACAGGGGACTCAAAAGAAGGACAGTGGTTTTCTCCTTTGAATTACTTCCTCCTATAACTACCTCAAAATATTTTTCCACAAGGGAAACAGGTTTTTTCTTGTTTTTACAACCCTCCCACAGATAAGAGTCCCAGTTTAGGGCCTCTTGGAGAAGAGGGTCCCTATCCCCATGCAGGGTCCCCATCTCCATGGGACAAACCAGCCTTCACGGAGGCTGTAGAGACTGCAGTGCCCAAACCCTGCCACACTGTGGGTTAGAAAGCAAAGATCTGGCCTGGGGTGGAGGCGCCTCAGGCTCCGAAATGTGCTGAGGGAGGGGGTACCACTGTGGAGATACCCCCACCTCTTTGGTGGGTGGGACAGGGGACAGCCTCCCTAGCCCCAGGGACTTGTTGAAGCCATCCTCAGGCTTCTCGGCATCCTCCAGCAGTTTCCATGGAAACCAGAGACAGATGGGTAAGGAGATGGGCTAGAAGATGCTCCCTGCTGCTCGCCCTGGGCGGTGAGTCCTGCAGGAAATGGTGCAGCCATAC